TTATCTTTCCATTGATATATAATTTTATGGTACTACTCCAAAAATAAGTGGTTATTAGCCATAAAACCTGAAAAATACACTTTCGTAAAAGGTTTCCACAATTTTGATCACTACTGTATTCACTTAACAACTGCAGTGATTCGTTTAACTATGGGAAAAGAGTTTGTAAAATTGGGCACAACTCACTTAACAACTACCTTATCAATGAAAATTATAGTCCCCATTGTGGTCATAAGTCAAATGAGTGCCTGTAATTTTTGCTAGTATGTACTTGGAAGCTTCAGAGACAGTAAATAAAGAAAGAGAGCCATAATAAGCTTAAGGTCCTCCTTGAACCGAGAGTACAGGTAGCCACGGGCTGCCTCCCATCTGATTGGTGCTTCTTATTCAGTTTCCACAAGAGGCAATTGTGCAACTAAAAACTGACATTCCTCTAGGAATCCATTATTTGAGGATGTGTTGTTTTTTCCATCTTCCAGGTAGCACGTCTTGTTGATCAATACAATCGTTCCCACATCAGCATCTGGGCCTCCTTCGATTCTCAAATACTGAAAAAATGCCATAAAGCTGTACGTATCAAAAGTGTTTTTCCCCCCTTTCACATTTTATGTTTACAAACCCTTTTTTTGCTTAAAGCTTCAGACTGTATAAACATATGTAAGGTTTTTTTAAAGATTTATTTATTTAGCAATAAATAAAGTACTCCTTGATGCAGGTAATCTTTGACTTACAAGCCTTTGTTTAGTGACCAAGTTACCATGATACTGAAAAAAGTGACTTACAACTGGTCACTTTACAACCATTGTAGTCTTCCCGACGGTCACAGGTTCAGGCGCTTGGCAACTGCTCTGTATTTATGACCATTGAAGTGTCCTAAAGTCATGAGATTACAACTTTCCTAGCCAGCTTCTGACAAGCGAAGTCAATGGGGGAAGCCCATTGACTTTAACTAGTGTGTGATTCACTTAACAACCACAGCAAAAAAAGTCATAAAATTAGACATGACTCACTTAACACCACCCCCTGGTTTGACGGAAATTCCCATCCCAGTTGTGGTCATAAGTCAAGGATTACCTGTAATGTATTAGATCATGGTTAAATGAAGGTCCCCTCCCTTCTTCCTTTCTGTTCTTAAGCTTTTTTTGTAGACCAACTTGTTACACTTGCTTTTTCCAATTCTGCGTAAGCATTAGACAGCAGCTCCCTAAATCCACCAACCAAGGTGGAAAGACTGTGTTAAGCAGTTGTGTTTTGTCAAGCCAGGGCAAGAACGATATTTTCCCTGAATCTTCCTACTTCCCTGAAGCTGTGAGATGAAGTGCAACAACCTTCCCAGCAATGAAGTCTAGAAATGACAAGTCCACTGTCTAAAATAAATAAATAAATAAAGTTTTATTTATCCCTCCAGAATAAAGACATGCCCTACACCTTCTCCGCTAAGAGAGGCCTCTTAATGCTTGGACTCTGGTACCTTGGACTCCTGCCCTTCTTCCCTCTGAAGGAATCGTTCCTTGAATTCGTGCTGCCCTCAATCATAAACAGGTGACAGTCACTAGCAAGGGTGGGATTTAGGCAGAAAAGCATGCAGACTTAGAAATGTGATCATCTAATCTAAGAAATGTGATCACCTAATGATCAGCCTTTGGAAGTCGTGTGCCACACTTGCTCTCCCCTTTAAATAGAGCCTATTTGGAGAGACTTTCCTGGCAAGCTGATCTGGGAAAAGGGAGGATGTCTGGGCAACCTTTGCATCCACATGACAGTGGCCCTTCTGCAGGACAAGCAGCTAGCCAGCATCCAGGAATTTTCAACTGAGGAGAGCAGAGAAGTGAGGACAATTGGTCTGTTAGTCCCAATGAGCCACGGCCAATGCTGTCCTCTTAAACCCTTTGCTTTGGCTTGATCATGCTACAGGGCAGGGTTATTTATGAGACAACCAATTTCCAGCTACACCAGCTTATCCAATACAGGTAACCCTGACTTACAACAATTTGCTTAGTGACTGTTCAAAGTTACAACGGCATGAAAAAATGGGACCTATAACCATTTTTCAGTTACAACCTCTCCAGCATCCCCATGATCATGTGAACAAAATTCAGATGTTTAAGAACTGTTCATATTTATGACCATTGCTGTGTCCCTAGGTCATGTGGTCACCTTTTGAGACCTTCCAACAAGCAACATCAGAGGGGAAGCCAGATTCACTTAACAACTGGGTTACTCACTTATCAACTGTAGTGAATCACTTGACTACTGTGGCAAGAAAGGTCGTAAAATGGAGCAAAACTCACTTAACAAGTGTCTCCCTTAACAACAGAAATTTTGGGCCCAATTGTGGTTGTAAAGGACTACCTTTACAATCTGATAGGGTTGACATGTGTCAGGAGCCATCCATTAATCAATGTCATCTGATGAGACCCAAGCCATGTGCCTTTTCTGTTTCTGTGTCTCTCCTATGGAACAACGTTTTTCCAAGATCCAAATGGCCCCATCTTCTGCCTGAAGATGCAATGCCTGAAAGGCAATGAAGACTGGCCTTCCCCAGGCATTTGGTCAAGAGATTCTGGATCGATTGTTTCTGTCTGCAAGTTGCCTCTGTTTGATTATATTTTATTGTTTTGCCAGTTGCCATTTGTCACATTCCACTTTATATGCTACCCTGAGCTAGACATTAATCGGTGACTATGCAGCATGTATTAATGAACCATTAATTGTCTTGTAGTTAAGGCACCAGGCATGGAAGCCATCTGGGTGACTCTGGACTAATTGCCAGGAGACTGTGAGTTCTACTCCCACCTTAGGAATGGAAGCCAGTTGGATGACTTTGTGAAAGTCACTCTCTCTCAATCCAACCCTCTGTGCAGGATTGCCTTTGAAGGGAAAATTAGGAAGAGAAAAAAGTAATTGGTGTACTCCCGACCTTGAGTTATTTATAAAAAATAATAAAAATGGAAAACAAATAAATGTAGTTGTTTAGTCTAGACTAGAGTATGTCAAACTCATGTCATCATGGGGCCTTCCTAAAGTGGGATTAGAACTCATCATCTCCTGGTGATTGGCCTAAAGTCACTCAGCCAGCTTTCATTCCTAAGGTGGGACTCACAGTCTCCTGGCAATTAGTCCAAAATCACCCAGCTGGCTTCCATGCCTGGTGCCTTAACTACAAGACAATTAATGGCTCATTAATACATGCTGCATAGTCATTGATTAACAGCAAGCTCAGGATAGCATGTAAAATTGAATGTGAGAAATGGCAACTGGCAAAAGAATAAAATATAATCAAACAGAGGCAACTTGCGATGTATCGTGAATTTCCCCCCCTTTGCTAAACTGGGTGTGACCAGCGTATGACGCATCAGGCCCGCGTGCCCTGAGTTTGACACCCCTGGTCTAGAGAAAAGAAGGACTAGGAGTGACATAATAGCACTATTCCAGTATTTGAAGGGCTGCCTCAAAGAAGAGGGGGTCAACCTATTCTCCAAACACCAGAAGGCAGGACAAGAAACCATGGATGGAAACTAATCAAGGAGAGAAGCAACTTGGAATTAAGGAGAAACTTCATGACAGTGAGAACAATTAACCTGTGAAACAGCTTGCCTTCAGAAGTTGTGGGTGCTTTATCATTGGAGGTTTTTAAGAAAACACAGGACAGCCACCTGTTTGAAATGCAGTGGTGGGTTCCAGATCCCATTCCAACCAGTACATGGACGTGCGCAGCGCACACAGGCACAGCACACGCATGTGTCTTAGCACCTCCGCAAGCCTCCACGATGCTCTAGCTGCTCAGCGGAGCATCACACAGGCGTTGTATGCGCCATGCGCATGCACAGATGTGCCAAAGGCTTAAAAGACCGGTATGGAGCTCGGGCAGGCGGGTGAGTACTCTACAGCACTGTAACGGTATACGGTGCTCCTGGCAGGCTCCGGTATGCCCGTACCGGCGTACTGCCTGCAACCCACTACTGCTGAAATAGTATAGGATCTCCTGCTTGAGCAGGGGGTTGGACTAGAAGACCTCCAAAGTCCCTTCCAGCTCTACTGTGATTGATTGAAATATGAATACTGTACTCTTTCCCCACTTCTTAATCAGCTTCTCCCCTTGCCACTGCTAGAACTAGTAAACATTTCACTGAACATCAACAGAAGAACAACAGTTAAATTGGCTCTTTAGAGGCAGTTGCAGTGTAGCATAACAAGAAAGGACTGGAATCTGGTTTTTTTTTTAAGGAGGCATAATGTTGACTCTTTGAGAAGCAGGAAGTAATAAAACATGAAAAACCACAAAAGCAAAAACAAAAAAACACCCATCAACCAAACCTTCCAGTAGAATTAATTGAATCTCTCTGATGCTCCAATGTCTAAAAGAAATACTGAAGAAAAATGTTAGAAGCAGGTGTGGAAGAGAAACTGCTTAGCAAAATTGCAGACACCTGTTGTCTTCTCCTCCTCCTCCCATGGGAGCCTTCTATCCTGCATCACAAGAGTTGCCAATAAAGCTGCAAACTTCACCCAGGTGTGGGAGGAGAACGAAGGAGATGTTCTTTTCCGGCTCTGCAACCACCAGCCAACAGTACAGCAGCCAAACAAAAGATGGCATTTTCCTTCAGAGTGAAGTATGCAAAAGGGTGGGGTGGAGTGGGGTGGGGTGGAGAAGTATAGCAAGACAGCAACACAAAGCACAATATAAAAAAATTGCAAGAGCTCTACGGGTAGCCGTTAACAGAGGGAAAATTATGAAATCTCAGAGGCAACTTAAGACAGAACAGACTTAAGAAAGAAATGTTGATGTATAGTAGTAGTAGTATCAAGCGTAGTATGCAACGGGTTCCCAATCTTGGCAACTTTAAGACACGTGGAGTTCAACTCCCAGAATTTCCCAGCCAGAATGGGTGGCTGACCCCTGTTATGCAGATAGTCCTCAACTTATGACTATAACAGGGAACGGGAAAGTTCATCAAGTAGTACAGTAATTAAGTGAGGAATCACAAGACCACACTCAATTTTACTTTTTTTTTGCTGTAGTCATTAAGTGAATCCCTGTGGTTGTTAAACAAAACATCACATGACTGCAACTTGCGACCTTCCCTGCCAGATTCCTCACTGACTTTGCATCTTGGAAACTGGATGGAAGGCCACAAATGGCTGTTATACAATTGGCCACACTTGGGAGACTGTCGGGGTGATGAAGCAGTCGTGAGTGCAAGAATCAGCCCTAAGTCACTTTTTTTTCAGTCATAACTTTGAACAGTCACCAAATGAATGGACATTAGTGTGATGGAAAGTGTACTTGGAAGAGCACAGAGAGAGAGAGAGAGACTTTTGAAAGCCCAGAATTTTCCCAGAAAAAAAAGGTGGCGTAATCTCTTAATCTGAGTATCTTTCTAAGAAAGCCAAATGTCTCCCTGTTTGTTCCTGCAGGTACACATTTCATCACATCAAGTGAGGACAACCTGTACAGAAATTGTAACAAAACAATCCGACCACCTTTCAATCTTGTCTAATTGAAAGGGAAAAGAGCCACAGTGGCGCAATGGTGATGGCAAACCTTTTCAGCACCGTCCAAACTGGAACATGCATGCATGTGTGCATGCCAGAGTGCCAGAAACCCGAAAACCATCTGGCTGGTGTGCATGTGTGTGCCACCAGCTGGTCTTTGGGTTTCTGGCATGCATGCCACCAGCTGGTCTTCGTGCACACCAGAGCATAGAAAGACCAGCTGGCCGGCGCATATATTCCTGTTTTTTTTAAACCATTTTTCAGGTCGTTTCCAGGCTGTTTTGGGGAGCATTTCTCAGGCCATTTTTCTGGGCCAAAATAGCTTGGAAAATGTCCTGAAAACGGCCCGAAAATGGCCTGAAAATGCCCCCCAAATGCCCTGATTTTTGGCCATTTTTCAGGCCATTTTCCAACATTCCAGTGCCCGCAAAGGCCAGTTGGTGACACGATCTGTGCCCACAGAGAGGGCTCTGTGTACCACCTCTGGCACAGGTTCCATAGGTTCGCTATCACAGGGTTAGAGTGTAGTGATGCAGACTACTTCTGCTGCCTATCGGCTGCCTGCAATTTGACAGTTCAAATCTCACCAGGCTCAAGGTTGACTCAGTCTTCCATCTTTCCAAGGTGGGTAAAATGAGGACTCAGTCTGCTGGGGGCAATATGCTGACTCTGTAAACCACTTAGAGAGGGCTGTAAAGCACTGTGAAGTGGAATATAAGTAAGTGCTATTGCTAATTCTCAGAGATTTGCCTGGATAAGTCCCTGTGGTTTTCTTGGCAAGGTTTTTCAAAAGTGTTTTGTCACAGACTCCTTCCTAAGGCTGAGAGAAAATGACTTGCCCAAGGTCACCCAACTGGTTTGTGCCTAAGGCAGGACTAGAAATCCCAGTCTCCTGGTTTTGAGCCAGATGCCNAGAACGGTTGCAGGAACTGGGTATGTCTAGTTTAATGAGAAGAAGGACTCGGGGTGACATGATAATAGTGTTCCAATATCCCAGGGGTTGCCACAGAAAAGAGGGAATCAATCTATTCTCATTCATTCCTAAG